AAAGAGCTGAGGCTTATGTTGCAGTGCCAGAAAAGATTGAAATGCAGTGTGTACTGAGATGTGGAGCAGGATTCAGATAACCACTAACAGGAGGCAGGAACAGTCCTTTACAGTTTGTGCCTCCCACTATATTCATTTTGACTCATTGTGCCTGCAAAGAAACACCAGTTTCACTGGCTGTCTCGGGCAAATTTCAGAAGGGGGGGGGGAACCTTTCAAATGGCAACTAGGACACTCTTCTCACTGTGCTCAGATGGGCTGGGACAGCCAAATCCTATTTAAAAACAGTTCTCTGGATACACTAAAAAAAAAAAACCCAAACCAACCAACCAACCAAAAAAACTTCCACAACCCCAAAACCACACAGAAAAATAAAATGTGCACATTAACTCAGCCTATCAAACAGATGGCAGTGAGGCTAACCCAGCCTGCCTGATGTTCACTGGCTGAGGGGTGCAGGATGTCAGCAAAGAGAAGGAGGTTTCTTTCCATCTTCCTCTGAATAACTTCAACCTGCCTAATTCAGGCAATTCCTTTTGTTCATTGACCAAATATGGGAACATGCAGGCAATGACCCAGTCCTCTTCGGATAGAAACCCGCTAGAAGATCACAAGAAAATGATGTCTGCCTCCAGCCAGGTGCTAAGCTGTTATTCCCATACCTGCTGCTCACTTTTTGCATAAGAGCCTAGAGGGTTGACTACTCACCTAGGAAAGTCCCAGCTCCAGCCCTCAAGTGCCAGTGAGCCCAATGGGATGGAGGCCCTGCCTCCCACAGGCATCCTCCCCACTTCTTTTGCAAATCTGCAAGACATAACTGCAGCTTTCATGGTTAGCAACCCTCAGATTGGTACAAGAGATGAGAAGAATTCTTGCCCTATTGATAAGTTTTTTTTTTCTTGTTGTTTTTAAACCCAGGCATGGTCCAATGTAAAAGCTTCCAGGAATGGGCAAGTATATCTTTGAAATCCCAGTCATGCTCCCTCCCAGCCCAGAATCTTAGATGCCATGCACCCTGAAATGTTAGCAGGAGAAGGGCAGGCAGGGAGAGACAGCTTCATCCTGATGGCAGGATCCTCACTAGCAGACCTCCATCCTACTCAGCCAGAGCACAGAGGAAGATGAGGCTATTGGTGCTGTCTGTGCTCATACTGAGCACCCTGAATGCCTGTCCATGATCTGCATGGCCAGCCACGTATACATGTCTTTGTGCTGGCTGGGAATACATCTTCAGCCTTGCTACTGGTTGGACCTGGGCATGACATATTTTCCTTTAACACTTTCCAGGCTTTACAAGGTCAGCCTACAAGGACAAATGGCCAGGCACTCCACAAATCACAGCTGGAGATGTGTGCCACATGTTACATCCATCCCTGTTCTTTCCTGTTATGCACTGCTCTGGCCTCCTCAACAAACAAGTCTCAGCACTTTTAGCCCAGACCTCAGCAACCTGCTTACCCATCCTACAGGGCCTGCTGTGCTACTCTGTGTTTGCCAGTGGATGAGTAGACTCTGACGACAAGGAAAGGCTACCTTCTTCATCCCCTCCCCCCCAAGTGTTGTTTTGGGGTTTTTTTGAGGAAGTTCAATTGTGAGTCTTGGAATTCTGTTAGGAAGTAGAGTTTTATGTAATTTGGGTTTAATACTAATATTTTAATAGCTTTTACAATACATCCCAAGAGCAAGGTTTACAGAAAGCTGAGAGATTCTAATCACAGTCTCTACAGAGCACAGAAAGTTACACTGGTCTTTACTCAGCACAAGGAGACTAAACTATGATTAGTTACATCACAGAAAAACAAATTGTAATTTAACTGTTCAGTCATTACATGACACTTATAATTAGTCACTGTATTTTGGCATAAATTCCAGGCATGAAGAAACTTCACAGTACTTAAAGCACTAGAAGCAAGCTTTTAAAATACTTTTTCTTCCTTTTGGAAGGTATAATGACTCTGTTACATTCTACGAAAACAGAACTGTAATATTTACTGGTTAATAGCAAAGTACAATTAAAAAGTAGGAGAGAAGAAATTTTAAATGGAAATTATGTTATGCACGAATGCTTCTGGACTACTCTTGATTCATTGCTCAGGTCTTTTCTCTCCAGTGACCTCATCTATTGGAACATCTCATTGGGCTTCATCTATTCCCATAGGGAAGGGAACTTAAAAGAGCCATGAGGCATTTCCAATCACTCGCATAACATAACTGTACCAATCAACTATTTAGGGAAAAAGAACATTTGAACAGGCATTCACTCTTCTAGAGACCAGAGGCACTGCATCAAGAGGGTCTTTCCTTGATTTATAATTTAGATTCTACCACTTCTTAGGGAAAGTTGCACCCTTATGTTAGCTTGAAAGGAAAACAATCTTCCTGGACAGAAGAGACTTCCAGGATCGTGATCCCTTAAAGGAACACCACCCTCCTCAAAACAAACCAACCAACCAAAAAAACCACATCCTCCCCCAAAGAAAGCCAAACCACCCACAAATCCAAAATCACCCCAAACGCCCACACAAAACAAAACCAACAAAAAACCCAACCAACTAAAACCCATTCACTGTCCCCACATTTCCTGGGTATAACCACCTCAGCTGGAAGACCAGGAAACAACAGCTGACCTGTTCTTTTTAAAGCTACAGGAATGAAGCACTGATGGCAGACACTATTTTTCAGGAGTAAGCCTGAGGGCTTGGAGTTACCCTTTTATTCTGTCCATTCCTTCTACGGCCCATTTTCCCAAGACATCTTTCAAGAATACTTTTGTAGGAGGCATGCGGAAAAATAACATCCTGGTAATATTCCCTCAGACCTTAGTTGTATTAATGCACATCTCCACAGCTGAACATCCTAGCACAGTTCGCAGATCCAGCCAGTGCAGGAAGACCACTCTTGGGTCCCTCCAAACCCTTTAGCATATTACCGTGGAGTCTACCCATTTTCCGGCAGGCCTGGATCTCAGTAGAGGTTCAATGACCTGAGACACAGAAAAGTGTGAGAGAAGCAGCATTCTTTAGTAGGAGAATTTATTAGCTCTAGTAGCAATTTCTCAACATCTGTAATACTTCATGACAACAGGGAGCAGTAGCCTGAGACCTTTAACATCCCCCCTCGCCACCAACTTTAAAGTACAGACAGCAAAAGGCAGATAAAAATCATCCTAGTTACAAATATCATAAGAGTAATTATGTAATCAGTCACAATCCTTTCAACGCCTGACTCCAATTTTTTTCAGATTTAAACACAGGAAGAATTATGTCAGGTGAGATATGAAGCCACATCTGAAATGGTAGAGAATAGCCACATTCCCAATTGGAAGAAAAATATTTGGAAAACAAGTCTATTGTAGTGCTAGTTTCACAGCTACTCATCCATATCCCACTTCAATGTGTTATTAAAATTAGCCAGACCATTCTCAGCCACTGGAAAATCATGGTTTAAGCTAGGAACATGCATAATTGCAATGCAGAAGACATTTTTATGACCCTGTATTTAGTCTGAGCTTGTGGAATTTCAACAATCCCTCTTTCCTTTAGATGTTCCAGAGCCTTCACCACCATGAGGACATTACTGAGTTAATCTTGGGCAGAAGTGATAGATTTAAAGGTTACCTGTCACACACACAAAAAAAAGCAAGCAGCAAATCTGTTTTTTCCTCTCTTTTTATAAATACATGAAACACACACATAATGTCACCCAAAATCCTGAGCAAATGGATGTTTAAAACCATTCTAATGAAAAAAATAAAAATAAATGTCAGCCAACAGAAAATATCTATCTTGCCTTTTAGGCACACTTGATGCTTTGCTTCATCTTCTGCACAAATTCTGAACAAGCCGTCAAAAGGCAAGGATTATTTTCTTTAATGACCAGTTCTTTCCTGTTGGCAGCATTTCCAATCTACAAGATTTCAGAGAGTTTCTTTTACGCAGGCATGGAGTTACTGAAGAAGATAGATCCACCCCCTTCCCTCACCCCTACTCATCAGTCCTGCTCAGTGCTGTGCACAGATGCTTCTGCGCCACAGTCAAACCACAACCATCCTCACCCACCTCATTTCACCTAAAAAGTCAAAAGCAGCTGTACACCTTTCACACAATGACTAACACACCCCACTGGAGGGTAACAGAGTGTTACCTCCGTATCCTTAACAGTTAAATCCACCCTGGACATCAGAAGTGATAACTTAACCGATTGCCTTGGAGCTCTCACATTTATCCTTACAACAGGTTTGGCCTCTGGTATTTGTTTAAGACTTGAGCCGCAAGAACTTCTGTACGTATTAAATCTACCTCAATGTCATTTAGGTATGAATCACCTCCTCAATATCTCCCACTCTTTATGCCCTTTAAAAAAAAAACAAAACAAAACAAAAAACAACACAAAAAACCCCAAACCAAAACAAACAGAAAAAACCAAAATGAAACAAAAACTTCATACTGAATGTTGGTAGGTGTTTTTTAGAGTGGTTTTGGAAAGGCAGCCGATGTTCTGAGGATTTTTCTCAATTAAACATCTAATATTTAGTTGCATGCATGCAGGCAGGCTTATATGGTCCTGTTAATCGGTTTCTATGAATATTTCTAATTCAGATTTGTACCACATTTCTGATATTCACATGTAGTAAAACATCATTTAGGTTTGCAGTTAACTTTATTTCAGGAAAAAGGAGAACAGAGGCCTGATGAAATTGGGCACTTTTTACAATAAACAGAAGGAGAAAATATTATAACTCTCGTTACAGCAGTTGAAAAAGGCAGAGATTTGCCTTTAAGTCAGGAGTTTTTTGGTTTGGGCTTTGGTTTGTTGGGTTTTTTTTCCTGGAAGAGCGACATAGGTCCATTTTCTAGGAAGCTGCACATTAAGGTAGCCCTGTCATCTGCTGCATCCTGCCTGCCAATTGTCTCTCCCGCCTCACGGAACAGCTGCTCACAAGTAGCAGCTCCCATTTGGTCCATTGGTCGTGACTGTCACCCACCACAAACTGTCACCTGTCATTTTGTCATAGCAGTAGCTGGCGCTAGCGCCTGGCACCGGTACGTGCTGTATTCGCTCTTACCGCGGGCGCAGGTCCGAAGGGCTGTGGGGGGAAGAGGCAGCCACTGATGCTGCAGCTGCTCTTGCGACCATCTGATGGCCACAGTAGCTTTGCAGCTGACAGACCCAGCTAACGAAGCGCAGCCTTCCTCCTGACAGTGAAAGGCCTTGGGGTCATCCTCTTTAGCCAGGTCTTCGCCAGGCAGCAGAACCCTTTGCAAGCGTTCAGGCGGTTTCGTGCTGCTCCGACGACTGGTATCAGCAATTTATTTCCACGTAATACGGTTTATAACAACACTCCTGGAGATACTAATTATAACAGTAATCATAAATAGTTAAGCAAAGATACATCAAATCAACTACAAGCAATACCAGCATTTTCCACATCAGCTGTGCTGGGAAAAGATTACAGAAGCAGCTTGAATTTGTTTTCTGTAAAACCAACTTTTTAGTCTTTGCAGTTTGTCACCTGCACTTTAAATTACAATAAAGCAAGTATTTTCAAGGTAGGTTAAATCATGCCTTGTGACGTTCGCATTTTTTGCAAGCTGTCTATATTTTAAGCTGACTCTTGTGGCTCAGTTGTATAACCTGGTTCCATATCTCAGAAATATATAATTACAATTCACTGATCTCTGTGAAAGCTTCAAACATCAATGCTCAGTTGAAGATGCTTATGGACATTATATACTGAATAAATCTGGATATGTAACGTACTTATTATGCGAAAGTAACTCTTACTTCTCTGAAGTACAAGTTAAAACAATCTTGTTCACCCTCTCTCCTGCAATTTTTGGAAAAGCTCAGCTGTATCTGATCTGTTCTAGAGCTGCACAAAAGTTTATTTGTATTGTTTTCAGAAAATAATTCCTACCTCCCTCCAGAGGAAGATGTTTATGTACAGTCATTTCCTTCACCCAATTCATTCGGAAAAAAAAAAAAAAAAAAGTACCAGAGCCCAAATTCCTCCACATTCAGGGAAAAAGAGGCATGCTACAACTTATTTTTCCCTAGTTCCAAGGCTCTTTCCAGACAGCACTTACCCCAAAGGCATTCTCAAAATTTTTTCTGAAGACCATTTTTACAGCTTGTTTGACTGCACACTTTGTTTTCTGCAGCTTCTTTGTGTCACTTGTCATCAAAACAAAACCCACACAGCTCTGTTTCTGGCCAAGATTTCAGCCCCCTATGTTCAACAATATATTTAGAACAAAGTAACTGAAACCACTAAAACAGGGTTTAACGGCTTCTGAAAAGTCACGACACCTACCACCTTCGGCAAGGTTTTTTACACAGTCCACAAAGAACTGACAAAGCTGATCCTATATGCATCAGTCGCCATAGATTTTGAAGAGATTTCTTTCAGGCAGTCCATTTAGGATACTACCAACCTGTTTCACATGGCTTTTGATGGATTATCATTACTTGGCAGTCTGCAAGTAATAACCACTCAAAAAACAATTTTGAGATGAGACTGAGAATCTGGAACAAAATTTTTAAAAAAACAAACAGAGTGGAAGGACTGACAGGTAACTTATAACTGAGACATTTTCCCTCAAACAATGAGTCAATATTCTCATTAAGAATACAGCACTTTTCTTTCTCCACAGTTATCTTTTGCTTGTTCTCTGAAAGGAAAAATGTTATATGCACTACGGCTTCAATATTTCTGAAAGCTTTTGTACCTCTTAGCATAAATATAACTATATAGATTAGATCTCCAATTTGCCAGCAGCATACATAAATTTTTGTTGTTGTTTAACAAAAGTCACAAGAAAATACTGGGGTTTGCTCAAAAACATCAGTTAATGGCACCGAAGCTTTTTGGGGGGGGGAGGGGGTTGCTTGTTTTCAAGCCTTTCTAAACACGATAAAAGTTGTTTAGAAAGGTGGTGTTGAATTTTGAGAGGCAGATGAAACACATGGTGCAGCTGAAGGTTTTGGAAAGCAAACAACACATGCTTACCTTCCCGCACAAGCAATGGGAAAGGAGAGTGCGACAGTTTCCCAAAGCGGTAATAAACTCCAGAGACTGATGGTCCCATCAAATCTGCAAGGAGTGACAAACTCAGGCCACGAGGTCCTGCTCAACCCATACGATGCCACTAGCACATACTAGCATCAGCAAGGGGCTGTGCAAAGCGGACCACGCAGGGACGAAGCCACAGGGATACCCACACGCCTGCTGGAACCAAGGACTCTCCAAGCAGCTGCTTGGCAAAGGGCATAGACACATCCCTCCACGTCTGAGCATCCAGCTGGGGTTGGCCCATCAGCTGCAGCTCCACCAAGGGTACTGTGAGTGAACACGTGAGTTACATGGGCAAATAAGTGCGTGCTTTGTTTGAACAGTTACCTACTAATTGCCATCTAATGAACAAAGGCATTCTTAATAATGCTGGTGATCCGTGTCTTACGCACGCTAGGGAAAAGGCAATTCACAATGCATACAATAATAAAACATCAATGTCTTTATAAGAAGAAAATTTGATCACATATTTGCCACTGATGCTTTTATAAACACATTTACAGATATATTCACCTGGAGACCCCTCTGTCAGTGTAGCACATGTATTCAGTCTCCAAAAATACTTTCTTAAGCAATGATTATTGCTAATACACCACATGCTAAAACCTCACAGCTTTCAAGTACTCTCCACTCTCCAACTCAGATGCACACAGTACCAGCTTTTGTCATTTTTTCCACCCCCCCTTTACGACAGCAATGACTTTGTTTCCACAACACAATACCCATTCCAAAAAAAAAAAAAAGAAGAAAAACAACAACAACAAAAAAGACCAAGTTCAAATTCAGATAATTCCATTAGAAAATATCTGCATAACTGGATACTTCCACATACACAGTTACTTTTATATGCATTGACATCATTCTAATTTGTTTCCTATCTGCTGTCTCCATGTACATAGCTTTTAGGAAATTTACATTGCATCCAATCTCTGTCACACATAAACCTAAGTGAAGACCATCTCTTTTAGCACTTCCAATCTGATTCAAAAGAAAATACAACCGGCAACCTGCTTTCCACAGCACCGTGCTGATTGGCATTAGCTTTGCTAACACTACTGTCTGATTGCATCCTGTATCAGTCTCAATCATCTTGCCTGGTGTTAGTGTCCAGGCAACCAGCCCAGTTACCTAGGTTATTTTGTCTATTTTGTTTAAGTGCTGAAGAGACCTTAGCTTCTCTTCCCATTTCCTGGAACTTCCCCAGACTTATGAGATTTTTATTTAAAAGAAAAATCACAAGGAATATTAATTTTTGTAGCAGTTCTTAGTAGAATTTCTCTGTGAACATTCAGAAAAGATTTAATAATAGTGGTTGAAAAGTTTCCACAACCCTGCAAAGATGTCTGTTTGATAGACGTTAACATACAACTACCCTTCCCACTGAATACTAGAAATATGAACATTACGGATGCAGCAAACTGGTAAACATGTTTGTGGTAGTTTATTGTGTTATTATCTGCAGCTGTTTATCCCATACTTCACTCCTCACAGTTGCTGTCCTCGTATCAGGAGTGAATAAAGAGAATAAACACTCAGGGCCCAGCTGTCCCAGTTCACAGCATATTGTCTTAGCCAGAGACCCACAGTGGACATCAATTTACACTGAAGTGCAACAGTTGAGTCACAAGTACACAAGTTCCTCCTCTTTCACTGGCGAGGGAACTGGCGAGCATGTTTCCATGGCTGAAGGAACACACTTTACAATAGCTGCTTACTTTACCAGACATTTGTAAGAGGTCTCAGTAGAGAAATGGTGTCTTTGAAACTACTAGCTGCTAAATACGGCCAGAGAATTTTTTGCCCCCTTTTGCTCCCTGGAAGTTGTCATCTGTTCAGAGTTGGATGTTTTGTTCTTTTAGGGTTTTTTTGTTTGGGGGTTTTTTTTTGGTTGGTTGGTTTGGTTGCGGGGGGGGGGTTGGTTTGTGGTTTTGGGTTTTTTGGTGGTGGTTTGTTTTTGTTGTTTGTTTTTTTTTTTTTTTACAGAAAGTGTTGTCAGTGAAACACTTTTTCTATTATGAAACTTAAAGTCTGTGTTTTGACTTTAATAAAGTATACTGCAAAATATTATGAAAAATTCTGGGATTTTTTTTTTTGGTCTTATATTGGCTTAAGGAATTAACATGAGAAAGTAAAAATGCAGAAATCTCTTATAAAAATCTAGATAACTTCATAACACTTAACAAGTTACTTGTACAAATCTAAGTTAGGGTGGAGAAGGGTATACTGAGCTCTCTTTATATCAGCCTCCTTATTTAAAAAAAAAAAAAGCAACTACAAACAAAAGTGCATCCATTTAATTTAGAAGGGGACTGTTCAGGTAACCAAAGCCTATCACATGAAGAAAAAAAACCCAAACATTGGCACCATACTAAAGCAAACAAAGGCAATTGGAATTCTTCAACACCTTAATTGAAGGCTTATTAGTGATACACTTAAAGAGAAAAGGTACTTAGAATGACAGCACTTTCGTTTCCTATTCTCACTCAAATTATTTAGTACAAGTAAAGGATTGTGTAGTTCTACCAGAAATTTTGTTTTGCACAAAGAACTCCATGGTCAACCTTGCCTTGCACAGGTGAACTATATATTAAAAAAAAAAAAAGAGATAGCAGCACTAAGCAAGTGCTACTGCTTGCACACACTTTAGTTTCAACTGCTATTTTTCTTTTGTACAAAGTTTGTGTCAGACTGCTGAAAGCGCTGGCAAAGATTACATTTTTTCCACTTGTAAAAGTTATTTTTTCAGTGACAAATAACATTACATGGAAGAAAGAGAAAAAGGGATATAAACTGGAGATAGACCGTCACAGTCTCACTCTAGTATTTTGTGATTTCTAGCACCTGTATTTTCCTGGATGAGCGGGGACTTGGCAGTGTTAGGTCTACAGTTGACCTCAATGATCTTAAAGGTCTTTTCCAACATAAATGGTCTTTTCCAACCTAAATGATTCTATAATTCTATGCCTACTTCTCTCTCCTGAGGCTGCTGAGCAAGCCACAGGAGTTCTCAGAAATAATTTCTGGATGATATACCTGCTGACCTCCACCTTTACAACACACCCACAATCCTCAAAGAGGACACAAGTACCAGTCCATATCGCTGACAAGAAGGCACAGCCACCAGAGCATGGCCACCACTTGCTTCCTTCAATACACTGCAAGCTCCCTTTTCCAATAGCCCTCTGTAAAATTCCTAAAGCACTTTGAAGGCCACACAGAAAAAAAAACAAACAACAACAAAAAAAAAACCCTACAAACTTTGGAGCAGACAGTCTCTAATGTTCGCTTAAAGCATTTAAATTTGTCTTGAGAAATCATTTTAAGCATCTAAGGCAAAGAAGATAGCAGAAGAAATGCAAAATACTACTCTAAATCTCTTTAGCATTGCAGCAAATTATTTTTTCCACTCCTTTCCCCAAGAGCAAAGATTTAAACAGGTTTTGGCTAACATATTCTGCTACTTTAAATCATATACCACGGTGCATGAATCATAAGGATAATTTAGTGGCTTAAGTGTTGATCAAAGTAATATTCTACTGATTTCTGAATTTGTCAGGGGAGACAAGCTAAGATTATTCAGTTTCCTCATTTCCCCAATAGCAGTAGATTTTTGCACTGCAGTTGCTCTTTTCTTTGTTAGCAGCTTCAAAACACAAAACCAACTTGTAACTTGCACCAGATCAGTTCATTCTTTTACTGCACCATCTTTAGATGAACGAAGGAAGATGGAGAAGAAGAACAATTTCAGTTCCTTGAAGTGTTGTTGATCAACCACCTGACTAATCTGAAAACCCCAAACAGAGCTGATAATTTTATTCAAAGTACATAAATTCCAGATAACAACATGATGCAGTATAGAACGTGGATGTTTCTCAGTATTTTTTTCAGTAGCATTTTAATTACTGTTGCAACGGTTCCGCTAAAATTTCCACAACTGTTTCTACCTTTGAAACATTAGGCAGATTTTCTTTCCTGAGTACAAATGTAAAAACACTGACCTTTATTTTTAGGACTGTTTCAATACTTATCTTGTCAGTATTCCTCTTTTACTGCAAAAAGAATAGCTCAGCAACTTGGACTCCAAGCTGTAGTTCAGAAGATCCCAGAATGAACTCCCCAGATTATCACCCACTATTCAATGTGACCTTACACAAATCACTGGGGGAATGAAGGTCTACCAAGTTTTAGGAGACAGATATCAGCACCTTTGACTCCAGGCTATGAGGACAGGATAAGTACCTCAAGGAATGTCAGAAGTTCAGTTAGTATTTTAATAGTGACCACTGAAATATCCAAGACATACCTAACAAAAAAAGCACACCTCACAATCCTGTTTAAGCAGTGCATTAGTCAACAACACTGCTTCCCATCTGTACAACCTCCTCCATTTTAGAGGAGCAATGCCTTTTGCTACCTTTTTATTTAGTAAGCTTTGGTTAGCTTCATCAGAGCTAATTTTCTAAGAGACATAAGTACACATAAATGGTAGGGAAAAATAAAGTGGTCATAGTGTTCTCTTCATGGTGTCATTCATGCAGGAAATATTTTTGAAATGTAAGGGTCAGGCCCTAGGGACTGAATTGGGTACAAAGACACAGTCCAGAGGTTTAGGAGCCATTGTGCATAATTAACATCTGTAGAACCTGAACGGAGGATACAGGGATTATTCCTTGATAGGCAAGGTACAACAGCCCTGCCCTTAGAGGAGATTCCTTTGCATGAAGCAACGGCTGCCTGTCTTTCCCGTGCACCTATGTGCAATGAAAGGGGAATAAGCCATTTCATCCTATTCTCTTCTGCCTCATGGAACACAAAGGAAGAACTGCCAAATCACAAGTTTTATCGCAGCAGCATGACATCATTTTTCCTCTGAAGCATCAAATAAAAACTAGCAATAGCCAAAAATCGAGAATAGAATTCAACAAAACAAAAAGTTACAAGAAAGGATTTCTCATCTTTTTCTTCTGAGAAAAAAAAAAAAAAAAAGGAAAAAAATTCAGAATACAAAGTATATAGTTACAGTCGTTCATTTTAGGAAGCTAGTTATAAGAACAGGTACAACACTTCAGACTAAGTATTTGGGAACTAGTTTCATTCTTTCCTGCCCCTCCCCACCCCTTTTGGAGGAGGAGGCACAAAAAGAACTAAAAATAACTTCTTTGTAGTTTTCTTATCTAGAGAAGCCAATAGTAATACTATTTTTTTTTCCTTTAGACTGAAAGAGGAAAAAATATTCAGTACATGTGGATTTAAAACCTAAGACAGTT